GTGAGAGAGAGAGAGAGAGAGATTAACGAGCAGGGCAGCAGTGTCTGGATGATTTAGTGTTGAACTCTGCTTCATGGTCAATGCCTGCTGTGACCACAGCACAGGAAAACACACACACACAGCCAGTGGGTGACTCTTTGTGTGCAGCTTGTGTGTATGTGTGCGTGTGTTTAACACGTAAATTCATGTACAGACTTAAAAGAAAAGGGAGAGCCCAAAGAAAGAGTGGCCAAGCATCAATGTGAGCCTGAATAAAACAAAACATCGAGCAGTTTCAGCTTCATGTTACGCTCCTTTGTCTTTCCCTTCATTTCGACTATACTCTCTAATCTGAATGCAAATCAGACCTTCAGTCCAAGGTGAACAGCACATGGCCACAAAAGAGAGAATGGTATATTTATGTTCAAGTGACGCAAGCCCTGCAGCATGATGGGAGAGAAGGGGGGAGTCAGGTAACATTAATATACAGTGACAGTCTGTGTAGTCTGATTTCTTGGATGCATAGGGCAACAAAACGTTAAATCTAATGGTTTATATGTCCTATTCCATACTGTGATACTGTGTTTTTTCAAAGCATGAATGCGGCCGTTCTTTAACATTTACAACGTGAGGACAAAGGCCTCCAATGCTAAATATAGCATATCTTAACTAAATCCAGGTCCTTGACTTAAACCTACCGATAGACAACAGTGATATTATCGTTTGCTCACTGCGCATTAGCTTGCGTGCAGTGGCTTGATGCTGTTGCAGGGGTTGAGGACCATAGTAACGTAATAAAAAAGCATACAATAAAATAACTAAAATTTTAAAGATTGCCAAAATTAACATTTATTGACACAATGCTTGGATTTTTGTTTAGAAACAAAGAAAACGTAGCTGAAGGTAACATATCAGTTTAACACAAGTTATACAGACAGGTACATTCAGTTCCCATGGACTTCAAGGACTTAATTGTCATTTGAATTTGAAATTGTACATGACTCAATATAAACTGAATTAACCCCGGCCCTGGCTGCATATTTAGCCTGTGGTGCCATATGGAGTCCAGAAATAACCAACCTAAGTGTGTTAAAAACAGCTCACTACTGCATCCATTTACACAAATCAAAGAAACAACGCTTAACAAGCCATATGTTAGATGCTGAATGATATGTGATGACCCTGAGGCTTAATCATGCTGTGACCATATGTGTGTGTGTTTGTGTGTGTGCCCTTATGTCCAAATGGCAGCATAGGTACTGACAGTATGCTAATGTATGCTTATGGGCTATGTTAGTCCCTGTGGGCTCTTCCACGCTGTCACATTACGTTAGCCAGTTGTTTTCTCTGCCGCTGCACAAAACCCTCAGCTCCTCAGAGGAAGCAAACAGTGGTGCTGCTATTTTAGAAGAAGATTTAGCCTGTTAAGTGTTGAGGGAAACGGGAAGATCGAAGCCGGCCCGATAATTAAGACTTTCCTAAAAGCACGGACTAAATTCAGCTCAAATACTAATGCCCGTAACCTAGTGCTCTCGCCCCAACTCTCACTTTCCCTTCATTTTTTTTGCTCAGTACAGCTGCAGCATTTCCCTAAACACACTCAGAAACTGTTAGCTGACCTAGTTTATAAAAACAAGTGTAGCCATGCCAAAACGACGGCTGGGCTCTCTTCCATTAGCTCGTTTTTTTGTTTCATGGACTGCTGAGTGGTTAAAATTATTGATGCTGGCCGCAGAGTGCTGATGCCCAGCTGATGGAGACTGTTTGTTTCAGAAGGTTTTTTTTTGTCTGCATGAGTATCCAGGTCAGACTGTGGGCGACCTGGGTTAGAGTTAAGGCGTTTTCACACCTGAAAGTTAGAGCCAAGGTTTGTGTCGTGGTTACATGGTCTACATTTGGTGTTGTTAGTTTTGGTTTCACATTATAATTTAGGGAGCGCAAGAAAGACTTTCGCAAGACATACATACGTCCTGACATTGTAACCTACGTGTGCTGCT